GGTGTACTCATAGTCGTGCATGCCGTAGTCGTTAGACCATTGACCTCGCATCCCTACAAAGCCGGGACGGAGCACGCCGGGTTCTCACCGGACCAGGCTCTCACATCACCAAGCGCGAAGCGCCGTGAGATATTCGGCAAGTCGCATGAAGACTGCGCTGCATCCTGCTAAGGGTGTTCGGCATCTTGTGCTTACTTCCTTGCGTACGGATGACAGCTGCGTATGACTTAATTTATTTTCTGGTGCTTTCACTTCCAGAGACAGTTGTAAGCACTGTGTAACTGCCTCGAGGGTGCTTGACCATTTTAACACAACGTGGTGCGATCATCCCCCTTGCGCGGAGTGAGGGTTCTCCACCCCGCACAACATGATCTACTCGACCACCATTATGGTTACCGCCAAAAAAAAAAACGGAGGTAAAAAAAAAAACGGTAACCTGGTTGCCGAGTTCACGAAGTGAATTGGCTTGTTTTACAACGTCGTTGCCAAGCGACGAAACCCGATCCCGATGGCAAACACCGGGGGCGGCGGCTTGTTTTACAACGTCGTTGCCAATCGACGAAAACCCAACCCCGATGGCAAACACCGGGGGGGGGTACCTTCGAGCGGGGGGGTAGGACCAGGCACTATAATATCTCGGCGGAAAAGACGGCCGTATAACCACTTCTACACCTACAAACGGACAATCAATGCGGTTTTTTGACACGAACAATGAGTTTTTACCTTGTGGCAATAATTATCTCTCGAACGAGCGAAAAAAACAAAAATTCACCTCTGGCAGACGAAGAGCACGTAGAAACCCTCGGTGTTACCCCCGCCCCAACGCCAGGCACGGCAACAACGGCGCCAAGCCCGCAGTCGCCACCGCCGCCTCCGCCTCCGCCGCCGCCGCCGCCGCCGCCGCCCCGGCGGCGCTCGAGCCTAGCCTCGTCTGCCAGCCTGAGCCTCCCCTCCAGCGAGAACACCGTCTGCTCAAGATCGAACACCTTTTTCCTCAGCTCCCTGGCCAGCGACCCCGCAGCCCCGGACCCCGACGCCTCCTGGACTTCGGAGGGCGAAGAACTTTCTGCGTCGCCCCCGCTTTCCGGGAGCCGATCTCCGGAAGGTTCCGAAGAACTTTCTCCCTGTTCTTCTTGTTCTCCGGTGGCCCAGGCGGGAAGGCCGTCCAGGGCGCGCGGTGCTTTCTCCTTCAGCAAGGCCGAGAGCTGTCGTTTCCGCGCGAAGAATGTTATCCAGCGGCGGAATTGTGGCACGGAAGAACGGAATGATGAGGTCCACGAGACACCGGAGGACCAAAGAAGCCTCTCTCGCGCCCAGACGCGCAAAAAACACCAAAGTGAAGAGCACAGCTGCACGCGACCACACACACACCCGAAGCTCAAACAAGACACACGGTCCTCCCGCCGCGGGGGAAGGTGAGACGCGGCGATCTCTGCAGAGCGCTGTAGCAGAGTGATGGTCTTTTCACGCCCAACAGTCCTGGATCAAGCGGTCTCACGCAAGCTCGTCGGTCGATTCGTCAGCGGCCGTCTCCGGACTGCGTGAATGTAAAGTAGGGTACCCCACTCCCTTAAAAAGTGGTAGATATGCATACATTTCCAGGCAACCTCTCCTGTCCACCGTTAGATGTCACCGGTGCCACCAAGGCGTCTATCTCGTGCTGCCTACGGTATGACCTCGAGGCGGGGCCAGCAGGTGCGCACGGCCGATCGATGCCCAACCGTGAGACGACACAAACATCCACACCCAAGCTCCTGCCCGCGGGATGCAAATAATCGTACCTGCTCGCAGCGAACGCGCCACGTGTCCGACTCCAGCCGGGCGGACATCTCTCCCTCCACCGCTTGGGTCGCGCGCCGGGTCTCTTCCAGCGCGCGCCGCTCCAGGTCCGCTTGCCCTCTTCAGGACACGCGAGGAAGAAGGGGCAGTGGCGGCGACAGGGTCGTGAAGGAACGAACTAGTGGCTCTAGGACGTGACGAAGAAAATACGCAAGCTTCTTCTATGCCGGGGGCACCATACCTGTCCACGCACGGGGTGAATCTTTTTCAGTAAGGGCATCCGACGAGATAAGTGGATGCGCGTGCAAGACTACCGAATACAACACAAAACGGCACGGCCAGGACAACACCACCCACAAAGGGAAGCAATGCCCTCCACACCCAAAACAACCGCAGTCCTGCAAACACACCCATAGATCCCCACGTCAGGGTAGCCGGCACCCGTATCGCACCTTCGCAGCTCGGCCGCCTCCTCCAGCGCGTTTCGATACGCTTCCCCCCCCCCGCCTTCACCACCCATTCCCATCCCCCGCCCCCCCGTGCCGAAGCCGAAGCCGCCCGCCAACCCCGACAGACGAGCCTGAACCAATTCTACCTCCATCACCCGCACCTGTTTGCGCAATGCCATGACCTGAAGAGCTCGGCGGAGAGAGCACGGTCGGGAATGCCGGTGGTAAGAGGCGGCGAAAGAACAAAGCAGAGAACGCACACTTTCAAAACGAAAACCACACATTGTCCACACCGAAGTGAAGTTTATGTTTTTTTGTTCCGTGTAAATCCCGATAGTAAACACACATACCAGGAGAAGGCGTTCGGTCTGAAGATTCCAGAAAATTAGACAGGACGGAAAGTGGATATCCAAGCGTTCTATATCGTCGCCCCTTACGCCCGAAACGCCCGCATTCCTTCGGAGCTATCACTGTCCCCAACGGATCACGGCGTGCACCGGAAGTAGGCAAGGACCAACAGCAACGTTCTGTCCGAGATAGGAAGCTGGGCCTCGAAATCGACGAACGGTGCAGGGCCGACGAACGTGAGAAAAGGGCCAAGTCAATCATCTCCCCAAGCATCCTACCGGGGCCACACACACGAACTAATCGCGAAGTGGATGCATCCGTCCTTTCAATCCCGAGAATAAAACAACCGACCTAGACTGCACTAGCCAGCAAACGCAGCAGCGGCCGCGTAATGGAGTAAACTCAACCTGGTTCGTACGCCACGCATAGGATACGGGGGTACTGTTGTGTGGGTTGGATTACCTATGGCCTCTGGACTGTCCCCCCCATGGCATGGTAAACTGAGCCCTTTCAAATATATTTTTTTCAAACCGTGTATGATTGAATACCTCCGCGTAGCTGACCGGCGGCCCCGAAACGTCTTCGTTCTTCACCGCCGTGTTCTGGATGTTCATCGCGCGCTCGGCGTAGCGCAGAGTGTTGACGCTCTCTCCCATGTTGCTGGACACCAAAAAACGAAGAAAAAAAAACAGGGACAGATAACCCGCGTTTTTCGTCAGCGGAGAACAGAGGGTGATCGGGGGATTGGTTGTACGCGCACCATCTAGAACTCTACGGCGGGGGGGGGGAACGGTGGTACGTGGCATCCAGAGCTCAATGGGTAAGAACGGGTGTTTGCACCGGCACGGAGACGACGGTACGCGCCCCGCCCCGCGCGTCAGAACCAAAAATGGCGATTTGTAGAAGGAGTTTCGCATCATCACCGGAGCAGCGGAGCCAGAGGCAACAAGTGCAGGCAAGGAAGGAAAAAGAAGCACCACTGGCGTGCGAGGGACGCTTGACGATGGTACTGCTGTGCTACCGCCCTTGCTCTGCGATAGCGGGGGTGGGGCCTCGATTCGATGCCATGGACGCAGCCTCCCCCCACAACCGTGCACGTCTTCGCACCAAGCGCATGGATGGAGGAGGGTGTACTCATAGTCGTGCATGCCGTAGTCGTTAGACCAATGACCTCGCATCCCTACAAAGCCGGGACGGAGCACGCCGGGTTCTCACCGGACCAGGCT